TAACCATAGTGTTTTTATTGTGATCCTGTAAACAATAATGCATGGTAATTCGTAAGTTAGTCATAGAAATTAAACCTATTAGTTTATAGTACAATGCTTAAAAGTTAGAATAAAATTATTTTAGGTAAGAAAATGACAGTGCAATCTATATCATTGCTACCATACCTTTTAGGCTTTTTTATTTTATTTCATTATTTATTTATTTTTATCACATTTTAGGTTTTGGGGTACATGTGCAGAACATGTAAGATAGTTGCATAGGCACACACATGGCAGTGTGTTTTGCTGCCTTCCTCCCCTTCACCCACATTTGGCATTTCTGAGATGCACTAGTTCTGTACAATAATTCAGTCAAAAACTGATAAAAGAGAAAAGGTAAAAATTTTAAAGGAATGCATAAAGGCAGTCATTACATTTGGTGCTAAGTTCTGTGCTAACTCACTGCCTTAGAAAATCAGTTTTAACAAGAAATTATCAAAAGTTAGCCATGGATGCTTATGGATATTTTTGGGTTGTGTGTTTGGACTTTTGTCAAATATGGTTGATAATCTCTTTTTAAACTGAGCCTTGTATATGTAAACTTATTAATAAGAATATTGATGTGAGCACGTAGGGTTATAAGAATGCTAAAGTTAGAAGGGCAATTATTTATGAAGAAACTTCTTTGTTACATATTTTTACATTTATCAGATATATGTTTGTTATTGTTAAATTAGGATAATCTTAAAAGAGGATGTGAGTCGGAGTAAGCAGGATTTTGTTTGTTTTTGCAAAGCATTAATTACTAGGCTAAATACATTTTGTGGAAATGTAGTTTAAGGATTTTTACAATTTTAAACATTACCTACCTTTGTAACATTTCACAGGTATTCGTAGTAGGAGTCAAGTTTCACTCTTAGTGGAAGAGCAGAGCCCATTTTTATATGCTTTGGGCACTTGACTGAATTTTAACTCCTGTTTTTACCCTAAGAATGAATATGCTTGAAATTTAAATTATAAAGAAATTAGCAGATTGTATGATTGTTCTGTCTTTTTTCTTGAATGAATACCTCTTCATTCAGATAATTCAATCCGATTTAAATTTTTCTACCAAAATGAAAAATTAGGTTTATGCCTCTTCCCAAGTGAAACAAGCTACTATTCTTAAAAGAAGCAATAACATTCAAATTAGTTCTGTATTTAATGTGGACTTACAAGGATTTCTAGTATTTTATAAACTGTATTCTGAGAGTTTTGGAAAACTGTAACCAACTTATTTTTTAGAAAAAAAAAGCCAATTAGTATGGAGAATTTCTTGTCCACAATATCATTTTGCTTTTTATTTATGTATGAAATGTTTTACCCCAATGGATGTAATAAATTTATCCTTTCTTTCTACTGTATGGTTATGTGATCACTCTTTGTAAATTATTTGGCCATTTCTAACATGACAGTATCTTTCTGCAGCTAACTTTAATTCAGCACATACACAGAACCACATATGGCAACAAAAAGTGTACTCTTGCAAAGTTATATGACTCTAAAAGAGATTCACAGTCATTACTTTGAAGCTAATCATATGCCTATATTACATAATGAGGCCTCACTTGGTATTTTATTTAATTTTGGAAACCCAAAGTGAATCAGCAAAATCTGCAGCCAACAAAACTGCTTGTAACAACATCTCTGTGCATAGTATTTTTCAACTTGGTCTTTCCCCAGTACCCTCCCAAGTATGGCCAGCTCAGTAAGTGCATGACTGAGAATACTTACCAGACCAAAAGCTACTTCTTCCCATATCACTGCTTGCTTACAAAATCTTAGAGCAGAAAGTTGACCCTGGAGGCTATTAGTTATATTCTCATTCAATGAAGAATCCATTCTGCAGTAACCCTGACAAATGTTCATTTATCCTCTGTTTAACTGCCTCTTCCACATTGCTGGCCTGAGATTTGCAGTGCTGTAGGAGCCACAGCCAGCTGTGTACCCTGGATCAAGTTACTTCAGTGTTCTGGGCCTCATTTTCTCATTTGTAAAATGTTAATAATTATAGTACTTATTTCAGAGAGCTGTTACTTGAATTAGTTAAAGTAATTTATTTAGTGTTCTCAATATAAGTTATCTAAATGCTTTATATGTATTATCTCATTTTGGCAGAACAATTTGTGTGTGATCAGTGATTGGGTGGTTGTATAAACTACCATCACATTTAGTCATTATGACTACATCAGTAATACTAAGGAAGTATGGCATTTGGATTTATTATTTGTATCTGAATAGTCAGTTTCAAGTATAGTTTAGTGACATAGATGTAACTGGGGTAAAGATCTCCAGTTGTTTAATTATTAAAATTCTATCATTTGAATAATAAATATTATTTTTATATAATGTTTATGATAGTTCTTAATTTTATGCAACTTAATTTTAAATAATAATATTAGGGAATAGATTGATGACTAATAGAAATGTTAATAGATAACTGTTAGAAAATAAGTCCTGGCCGGATGCTGTGGCTCACACCTGTATTTAGGAGCTAAGCATTTTAGGAGGCTAAGGCAGTTGGATTACTTGAGGTCAGGAGTTCAAGACCAGCCTGGTCAACATGAAATCCCATCTCTACCAAAAATACAAAAATTAGCCAGGTGATGGTGTCAGGTGCCTGTAATTCCGCTGGGGCACAAGAAACACTTTAACCCAGGAGGCAGAGACCTCAATGAGCTGAGATTGTACCACTGCACTCCAGCATGGGGGACAGCGAGACTGTGTCTCAAAAAAAAAAAGGAAAAAGAAAAAAGTCCCTTTATTGGGTATGTACCCAAAGGAATATACATTGTCCTACCATAAAGAGACATGCACGTGCATGTTCATTGCATCAGTGTTCACAATAAGCAAAGACAAGCTAATCAAACTAAATAGCCATCAGCAGTAGATTGGTTAAAGAAAATGTTGTACATATACACCATGGACTATTATACAGCCATAAAAATGTATGAGATTATGTCCTTTGCAGCAACATGGATAGAGCTGGAGGCCATTATCCTAAGTAAACTAACAAAGGAACAGAAAATTAAATGCCACATGTTCTCACTTATAATTGGGTGCTAAATATTGAGTACACAGAGACACAAGGGAGCAGCAAACATCAGGACCTATTTAAGGGTGGAGGGTGGGGGGAGAGTGAGGACTGAAAAACTACCTATTGAGTACTATGCTTATTACCTGGGTAACAATCTGTACACCAAACCCCCATGACACACAGTTTATCTGTGTAACAAATCTGCATATGTATCCTTGAACCTAAAAAATGAAAAAGAAAACAAAGTTCATAATTTGGTAGCAAAATTGTCAGTACCAGTACTACAGTCAAAAAATATCCTCTACCTTCTCCAACTTTAGTTGAAAGGGAGCATCTGTATGTTTTTTAAATATGCAGTATAGAACACACAGTCTGACAACTGACACTGCTGGGATTTGCTGATAATGTGAAACTTAAAATTGAACGAGTTAAACTTGTAACAAGAAAATTACAATAATAATTACATTTATTATAAAATTTCAGATTTTATTTTTATATCCCAGAAATGTATTCTGTGATAGCCATTTTGATTTGAATCTCAGCTTGAGTTGAAAATTGCCCAGCATTTAACTAAAATATGTATTTAGTCTACCTCTTAATTTTTGTGTTTGCCTTAATAGTGCTATTACCCTGCATTCCTCTACCTCCTTTTCAGACAGCTGTAACCAAATGTGTTTAAAGATATGACAGAGGAATTTAAAACCAAGAACCCTAACAATGACATAAAATATCTGAAGGCTTTTATTTTCTATCCATGCTATCATTTCTGTTATCCACTGTTAAATCAATACACTAATCAGAAGTAGCTGCAGCCTATGGGACAAGTAGAAGATGGAGGAGTTCTGGCTGGAGGTTACAGTAATTTGCCTATTTATCCTTCAAAACCGTTCACCAAGAACTTTCTCTCTGACAAGTGTTACAGATACACCTGTCAGCTAATAACCCAGTCTTGCTCCACAGGAGTTTATGATCAAAACAAGAAACATTTAAAGAAATAATTACAACTAAATAAGACAAGATCATTAATTTGTGGTTGGAACAAAAATTCAGTTCTGTTATTTGTTTTCTGTAGTAACCCATTTTAGAAGCTAAAGCAATACTTTAATAGTACTTTTCCCCCAATGTTATCCAGCCTAAAAGATATAGCAAAATATGTCATTTTATGCCAACTACCTGTCATTAGTGCCACAAATGCAGTTGACTCTTGAACAACACAGGTTTTAGGGGACCAATTCCCCAACAAAGTTGAAAATCCATGGATAACTTTGCACTCCCCCAAAACTTAAACTAATAGCCTACTGTTAAATGGAAGCCTTACTAATAGAATAAACAATTAACACATATTTTGTATATGTATTATATACTGTATTCTTACAATAAAGTAAGCTAGAAAAAGGAATATTTTTAAGAAAATCATAAGGAAAAGAAACTCTATTTACTGTTCACCAAGTGGAAGTGAATCATCATAAAGATCTTCATCCCCATTGTCTTCACATTGAATAGGTGGAGAAAAAAGAGGAGGGCTTGGTTTTGCTTTCTCAGAGGTGGAACAAAAATCCATGTATAAGTGGAACTGTACAATTGAAATCCATTTTGTTCCAAGATCAATTTTAATTATAGCCACAAGAACTCTTTAGAAACTGAAGCCTTACTGCTTGCTTAAATTCTGGCAATATTTACGTAATATTAAATAAGAATTTATGAAATTTAAACTTTTCTAGTGTTTGCCATTGCCATTAATGATTGGTAATCCAAACAAAGACTTCTTTATGTATGTAATTGCTTTTTGTTGGCTATTATATAAAATAATTCTGAGCAGGTATTTTTAATGCTGCCCCTGGCCTCATGAAGGACCCTCCAAAATTCTCAAGAGATAAAAATATTGCTATCTGAGTGCCAAGTGAATTAGCTTATATAATAACAGTTGACTGTTTATTTTCAATAGGAATATGATGAAGAATGGGCTAAGAAAATTCAGAGTGAAAAGTTTCGCTGGCATAACTCTCAGTGGCTGGAGATGGTAGAGAGTCGTCAGATGGATGAGAGTGAGCAGTACTTGTATGGTGATGATCGAATTGAGCCATACATTCATGAAGGAGATATTCTTGAAAGACCTGATCTTTTCTACAACTCAGGTGATAACCAAAGTGAAAATAAACAATTTACATGCTATGAATAGAGATTTTAGTCTTCCAGCCTCGCACATTCCCAAGCTTAATAAGCACTTTTAGTTTATGAATGGTCTTCTAATGATTTTAGTTGTAACATCTATATACAATAAGCAAACCTATTAACTTACCATTATTTTTTTCCAAGTTAGTCTTTGATGTAATCTCCATAAAAGGCTGTAGGCAGGAAAACTAACTGTCCTTAGAAGTTTATTACTTGCTAGAATGTGTAACTTAAATGGACAACTTTAAGATTTCTGACTTCTATTCAAAAATGTAATATTCATTTTTCTTATGCATTTACTAAATGCATAATTTATTGATTTATCTTTCATTTTCCAAGGTATTTAATCTTAAATATTTAATTTTGCCATGGTTTTGCTTTAGTTTCAAACTACCAAACTCTGTATGGTAACTTTGGGAAAGATTTTGATACTAGCAGCAATTGTTTATTCTTTCTAAACTATGCTAATGTTTTCAAGATAAAATTTAATGCTTGCATAAATCTTACATGTATTATAACCTTGTTGATTCTGCAATACTCCCTTTTTCCAAGGATGAGTTTGACACAAAGATTGGTAAGTTTTTGCATATTCTAGCTTTTACTGTTTTGTATCATTGCCAACATTAATGTGACTTCATTGAATTCATTTTGTTGAGGAGAGAAACGAAAGGATTTTGATAACAATTAAGATCTGTAGCAAGTTGAGATAAAAAGCATTAAAGTGATTATATCTGAATTAGTGACTCACCTTTTTTTCTACTATGTATTTCTATTATGTATTTAGTGTTCACAAATATGTTCTCTAAAAATTTTGTATATTGTCTCATTTTATCTGAACAATTGGTGTGTGATCAATGATTGGATGATTATGTAAATTACTATTACATCTGATCACTGTACTCACAATAATACCACTCACATTTTCATTCATGTTGTTTTCTTAATTGTGTATTGTGCAAATTTTCCATGGATATTATTTTTGTATTTGGTATACTTAAATCATGGAAACCTTATGCTCTACTTTGAAAATTAAATAGATTTCTTCCTAACTAAATTTTACAGTGGTTATAAAACACTGCTTTGTGTTTCAAACCAGATGGAATAGATCATTAATTTCAACCAAACAGAATTTCTTAGTTTGGTAATAGCAAGCAGCTGTTCCTTACATATTCAGTATTCATGAAGTAAGATGATGTAAAATATATGTGATATGAATTTTTTTGTTAATAGAAATCAGAATATTCTTGGAATCAAGTTCTTGCTTTGAAGGTTGTTAGCTGCCTTTCATAATGAATTGATTACCAGTTTCTAAAACCAGATAAAACTATTAACCACCTCAGTATTCATCATTGTTGTTTTAATACAATTAAAATTTCAGAACAGATTTCTAAAAAGTTATACCATATTTCCAAAATTAAATTAACCTGTTAAAGTGGAAATCCTAAATATTTTTCTGATACTTTATAATTAAAATTATATATAAGTAAACTTACATTTTTTTGTGAGAAAACAATTAGGTATATTTTCATACACCAAAACTTAAAAGCATTTAGATTTTTTTTGTGTCTATAGCCTGAGGATATGATAGACATTTGACAGTAGATATTGCATGCTGTGAGTTTCAAAATAAAGTTCTTCTAGCAAGCAATTTTTTTCAGTTTAGTAATTATTTTACCTACATCATTTTCCATGAATAGTCCATGGACGAAATGAATCTCAGTAGCATTTCTTGATGTGTCTCATGGAAATCTAGATAATATTAGCCTCCCTTCCTTTATTGTGTATAATTGTATCATCAGAAAACATCAGATAAATTTGTAGTACTGCAGATTTGTTTGAATACTTGAGCCATGTTTTTAAGCCTCTGAAAATTTAGGCTGCTTCTGATAAGAGCAGCTTTTCAGCCACAGAGGTTAAACTTAGTGGCTCATAATTCCCTGGGTCTTACCTTTTACTTTAAAATGAAATAGCACCTGCCATTTCCTAGTCATTAGTATCACTCTCAGTATTTTCAGACTATTTAATAGTTAAATGAATATGATTCTGCTGTGTTTTAAGAAAAACAACCTTAGTATTGTCATGTGAAATACAATACAAGCACCTCCTTTAGTTACACTACTTTTCCTTAGTCTAAAATTATTGTAATTGTAGTCACTAATTAATTTCCTTTGCTATCATGAAAATGAAGCTGTTTGCCTTAGTACTTTTACCCATAGAGGAAATATTTTGTCATTTATAAAGCTGCATTGCTACTACATATATCTAAATGACTTTTTATTTTTTAATTGTTCTTCATTAATTGTAGTGAATCTTATTCTTAGTATGTGAATATATTCCTGGAATATGAAGCTTAAAATGGTTGGTTCTGTCTCAGGAATATTGTAAAAACCATAGATTTTATTTACCTATGTATTTCTGTGATGTGTCTTATAAAGTATAGCCAATAAATTATTAATACAATTTATCATTTTAGTTCTTTTTCTCATTTTCTACACTAATGACATCTATTTTCTCCTGTATAGTCACAGTTTCACCTTTAGCTTGTTTACCAAAGAGTTCAACATTATATTTTAATTTGACTTTTAAAAATAAAAAGAGGTTGGACATGGTGGCTCATACCTCTAATGCCAGCACTTTGGGAGGCCAAAGCAGGGGGGTTACTTGAGACCAGGAGTTCAAGACTAGCTTGGGCAACATAGTGAGACTTATCTCTACCAAAAAAAAAAAAAAAAAAGAAAAGAAAAGAAAAAGAAATTAGTCCCAGCTACTCAGAAGGCTGAGGTGAGGGGATCACTTGAGTCTTAAGAGCTCTGGGTTATAGTGAGCTATGCCAATCAGGTGTCCACACTAAGTTCAACATCAGTTTGGTGACCTCCTGGGAGTTGGAGACCACCAGACTGCCTAAGGAGGGGTGAACTGGCCCAGATCCAAAAGTGATTAAGTCAAAACTCCCATGCTGATCAGTAGTGAGATCATGCCTATGAATAGCCACTGCACTCCAACCTGGGCAAATTATTAATAGCAAGACCCTCTCTCTTTAAGAAAAAAAGTTGGCTAGGTGCAGTGGCTCATATTTGTAATCCCAGCACTTTGACTGGCCAAGGCATATAGATCACTTGAGTTCAGGAGTTCGAGACCAGCCTGGCCAACATGGTGAAACCCCGTCTCTACTGAAAATACAAAGATTAGCCAGATGTGGTGGTACACTCCCATAATCCCAGCTACTCAGGAGGCTGAGGCAGGAGAATCGCTATAGAACCCAGGAGGCAGAGGTTACAGTGAACTGAGATTGTACCACCGCATACCAGCCTGGGCAACAAAGCAAGAAAGACTCCATCTCAAAAAAAAAAAAAAAAGAAAGAAAGAAAAATAGTTTTTTTTAAAAAAAAAAGAACTGTATTTCAGTAGCAATATATGATATACAAGATAATATATAAGAAGATACTGAGTTTTATATTTTTTTATTTTCAATATTTATAAGCCAGTTTTTTAAACTGGCTTTCAGAAATCAGAAAGTTGATAAATTATCTATGTTGATAACAGATTTGCTTTGGTTTCATCATTGTTCCAGTATATACTTTGTTTTGTTCATAACTGTCTTTATAATTTACTTGGGGCATCTCAGAAAGGTGTGCTTTATAACTGTGTTCTAAAAGGTTTTATATAATTGAGTAATGTAAATGTATATAATACTCTAGAGCTGACAGAGTGTTCTGGTGTATATCTGTCTTTTCTGTTTGTTCTCTGGTCATTGAAATGTTACATGAAATACTTTAGTTCCTTGTTAGTATCTTTGAAACAAGTTTAGAGTAGGAATATAAGATGCTCCTAGATTTATTTGGAAAATAAAGCAGAAACTATGATTCTTTTTTAGTATTTCCCTAAATGAATTAATTTTGAATGAACAATGTTAAGAAAAAATAGAAGATTAGGTTTCCAAAGAAGATTAGGTGCTTGAGATGTGAGGCTTTCATGGAATTTTTATACCTCATTCTAGTAAAGAAAGATTACTCATATGTCAGTGCTGCCTAACTTTTGTGAAGCCATAAAGGGCGCTGTAGATGCCACAGTTTACTGAATCAACCACAGTGATTAAAAATCAATTAAAAATGAAATTGGGCAACGTAGCTCACACCCATACTTCCAGCACTTTGGGAGGCTGAGACAGGAGGATCACTTGACGCCAGAAGTTCAAGACCAACATGAGCAATTCCCTGTCTCTACAACAAATTTTTTACATTAGCCAGATGTGGTGCTTACACCTGCCTGTAGTCCCAGCTACTCAGGAGCATCACTATTTGAACACAGGAGTTTGAGGCTACAGTGAGCTATGATTGTACCACTCCACTCCAGCCTGAGCAACAGAGCAAGACCCTGTGTCTTAAAAAAGAAATAAAAAGAACTTCAGAAGCATAAATTTACTCTTTATTTAATCCACATAAGAATAGACTTACTATATTATTAAACTAGTTGTATTCTGAGTTTATTAAATTTCTGGCTGAATCTTTAAAGTAAAAAATTTTTAATTTGATCTCCATTTGATGATCACCCAGTTTCTAGTGTCCTGTATTCTGTTTATTCTTTTACTACTTATTATTCCCTTTGAAGACAATAGGCATCCTGAATCAAAAATAAGATGTTGAGAATTTGGTCAGATTTTTACCTAATTTCTTCCTAATCTGGATCACTTCACTATGACATATTTTATAAATATAAACTTTTTTACATAATTCAGATATCCTTTCATTTGGCTTTATGTCTGAAATATTTCTGAGTGTTAAATTCTTTTGTTTTACTGGCATGCTGAATATCTTTGCGTGCATTTTCCACGTGTGGCATACATTTTATTTTGGCATTTTACTTAGCTTTGTTCCTCTAATATTGGCAGGTTTCTTAAACTCTGATTCTCAATTCTTTGGTTTTAATTTAACGGAGGAACTTGTTGATTTTTGTGTTCTTACCCCTGTTAGTTTTAGCCACTTTCACAAAATCTTAGCCATTTTTAAAACATTTACTATATAAAATCACAAATTTTTATATGGCTAGAATTCATATAAAATTGATTTTTTTTAAAAATTGCTTTACTGTCAATCTGTGGTGTCTTGGCATTTTCCATGATTTCTTTCCTTTTTTTTGTTTGGTAACTTTTCAGTGTTTAGCTAGTCTTTTTCATTTATAGAAACTTTAACTGCTAGTGGACATAAAAACAGGATTAAATATTACTGGCACTTTTAGTAGAAACTCAAGCAATCTCTTAAGTATTTTAAAGTTGGTAAAATAATAGGACAAATACCAAAGGTGTCTATTACCAATTCAACAATTAAAAAATAATATGTCATTAATATGTGATGAGTAACAAATGGATATATTTATCAAATGAGTAGTATGGGAGTCTTATGGAAATACAAATTACCCCACTTAATTCCTTTGCCAACTCTATTACTTAGTTTTACCATTCATTCAATTTTAAAGACCCTTATTCCTCAAGCAGGTTTCATCATTTAAACCTTACCTATCTTTCCAGACTCAAATCTATTACACTTCTGCCTCTTCCCCATCCAAGTAGAATTTTATAACCCCTCTATCTTTTATTGCCTCCACACTCATTTGGTACTTATATCCATTCCTTCTGTATATCATTATAAACTACATTTTTAATTGCATCTTAAGTGTTTGTCTTTTATTTCACTTAAACTAAAATTCTTAAAAAGAGAGATTATGTGTTATAATTTTATATATTTCCCACAGGACCTAGCATAGTGTTATTATGCATGTGCTAAGTATAAAATAATCATTTAGTGATTGAATAATTTGCCTATACTGTGTGCCAAATGTATAAACACTGTGGTGGGTATGACCTAGCTAACTATCTGCAGGCCACTCAACAACCCAGCATACTTTTAGCAAAGGAAACTTTGAAAGGCCTCAAAGCTATCCAAATAGTTATTACAAAAGCCATGTACTAACGTATTTGTTCTATGCATTGAACAGCTCTGAAGCCATCATTTAGATCTTTTTTTCCCTCAAGTTCTTTTTATTCTTAACTTATTCGTAATTCTATCAAAAATAGGTTATCTAGAGTCTTGGATTGGAACAAATAAGAAAGTAGTATAATTCTATAATCAGGAAAAAAGTCATAACAAATACTTAAATTTAGGAAAACCATTTTGTAAGCAAAGAAAAATGTCTCAAAAGGTATACCAGTATAGAGCTATTTAGCATAGGTAATCAAATATATCTGTAAACCCTAGGGACTGTAAATATTATGAATATTGAATAATCAATAGTGTATCATTTTAAGAATGTAAGTGTCGAACAATGAGAACACATGGACACAGGGAGGAAAGCATCACACACTGGGGTCTGTTGGTGGGGGCTGTGGAGGAACAGTGGGGGATGGGGAGGTTGGAGGGAGATAACATGGGGAGAAATACCAGATATAGGTGATGAGGGGATGGAGGCAGCAAACCACCTTGCCATATATATAGCTATGCAACAATCCTGCATGATCTGTACATGTACCCCAGAACCTAAAGTACAATAAATAAAATAAAGAATATAGGAAGTGTAAACTATATGAAGATTTGTAATATAAGTTTGTGCATGTGTTTTAATGTTTGGCACTTAAACTGTCAAGTGTTGCTTTTTTGGAAATTCACTTATTTGAGATATCTGATTCCCTAATCATGCTACACTAATAAAGCTGTGAAATACAATAAAATATTACCTTTTACCAATTCCAAGCTGTTTAATATCTCCTTGCTTTTATTTGTTTTATTTCCTTAGCCTGAACCATCCTTACTGTCTGCCTTACTGTCTGTCCCCACCTTGCTTCCCTTATTTTTTTTCTTCTTCTCCATGAGACCATAAGCTGCTTGAAAGCAGAGACTGTCTAATTACTCTCTGTGCTCGTGTACTACCAAGTACATAGTAGATGCTCAATGAATGTCTAGTTACTGTGCTGCGTTATTGTGAACCAGCACTTCAGTTCATACATCCATCTGTTCATAATCCCAGAGAGAACAACATGTCATGCTAACATTTTTCTTTCTAGGCTAAATATACAAGCTATTTTCTTATTGTGTTAATTGATAAGACAGATTTTTTTTTTTCCTACACATATGTTTTACTAGTTACCATTATCTTTTTTTCTAGATGGATTAATTGCCTCTGAAGGAGCCATAAGTCCCGATTTCTTCAATGATTATCACCTTCAAAATGGAGATATTGTTGGACAGCATTCATTTCCTGGCAGGTAAACAGTTTTCCAAGAAAAATCTAATGTATGATATCTGTTGCTTTTGAAAAGCTAAAATTCTCTTTGCTCTCCATTTGTCTTCTTTTTCATTAAGAGGTGAAAAAACCCTCAATCTTTTCAAGGACATGTTTGATTTTAAATTAACTTATAAAGTCACATTTTCTATGTTTAAAAACTGGAGATCACAGATCTAAAACAAAATATTCTCTTCAAGTTGCAAAATATAGATTGTTGACACGAACAATACTTTTGCCTAATTAATAAATGCAGATTGTTTCTTGAGTGTTTGCTAAAGCCATTAAAATATAAAATGAGAACACAAGACATGTATTTTAACAATTAAGATATCACTATTTTTAAAAAGGTGATGCTTTTATCAAATTGAAGACTTTTTCTCCCTAGATGGTGTTTGAGTAAAACATTTAAGAAAAAAAAAGGCCAGTATTCTTTTGCAATTATAATAAAGTTCCCCACAGCATATATCCAGCTTTATTACCTAATGATATCATAGATTTTAAAAATCTTGCCAGAAAGTATAAGCAATATTTCCCTCTTTGTATCATTCCTAGAGGTGTAATATTTTAAATAAGACTTACTGTTGACATTTCACATTGAGCTAGTCCAGTGAACAGATAGTCTTATTTTCCCTTAAGCCTATTTATTTTTTTCATTAAGTTGTTAATTTAATTTCTTCTGAAATTCTGCTTTTCATTAGGATAAGCTATTTTCTATGTGTGAGATATGTTCATGTATTTTTTAAACAAACAATACAGTTGCATCTAATATGCAGTAATTCTTAATGATCACTTGTTATTTTAATCTGATACTAATTATGATAATTTCAACCATTATCAATTATCCATTTATATAATCTGTTTTACAAATATTCATCTTACTTATTTTAATTTGCACAGCGACATTTTAAAACAGTATTATTATATCTGTTTTACTGATGAGGAAATCACAGCTCTAAAAACTCAAGGTTAATTAACCAGTTCACACAAGTAGGATGATGGAGCAAAAATTTGAACTCAGGTATATATGTCACCAAAGTTTATGTTCTTTCCAGTATAACATGCTGCCTCATTTGGAGGAAACAAAATACAACATAAATTTTTAAGTTTTGACCACAACTCACATTAGAAGAAATACCTTTCATATTTGAACTTAATGCATACATACACATTTGTTTACATACATGTATCTACCTGTACACATATATGAAAATTGTTTCCATATTTGTATCTATTTATATATATATGTGAAACAAAAATTTCTTAAAATGGTACTCTACCTGTAAGAGACAGTGATATTTTATTATATTCTATTTCCTGTTTTAAATGCAAATTGCAACCCATTGAGTTGATTTCACAACTTGCTGATGGTCATGACCCAAAGTTTAAAAGCATGGTGGAGAATCATAGGAGTATTACATGAGATGTAGTAATAGCCTTAGGTGTGTTCAGTGTTCTATAGTGTACTTTAAATAAATAATAGCCCTTTAAAAATTGTTTCATCTTTATACTAGATACTCATAGTAAGAAACTCCTTGTGCCTTAGGAAATAAAAACTACACATGATTAAATACTAGAGAGCATGCTTTTGATTATTTCTGATGCTTATGGCTATATTAGCTATAATTATTTAAATAGAGGCTCTGTTTAATCATTATAAATACTGTACTCTATCAAGTGACAATTCACTGTACAAATGTTTTTTGAAACGTAATTGGAAAAGGAGGAAGTGATTTAGGTATTTGATCTTAATACTTATATTGAAGAATTTTGCTTAGAGCATTTATAATATTAATTATTCTGCCATTTATGGTTTACTCTTAGCCAAACATTATTTTTGTATCTACTGCTGATACAGTCAATCTAAAGAAAACCTATTGCTATAAATCATGCATTACTTAATTGAGAAAGACTTGGTTTTATTTTTATTATGTGCCTTTAAAAAACTAAATATTTTCACCAAAATATAGAAAACAACAATTCTTTTTTGCTCAATTCAGCAAAATCTCTAATTTCTGGTTTTCAAAAATTATTACTTTACACAATAATAAAAGTTTTGAGAGAGATAAATGTATTCTACAAGTTATATACTGGATCCAAAGATTTCTGGATTTTATTTCTCCATTCTGTTAATGAGATTTTTTTCTAGTAACTTTGGGAAAATTCTTTTACCTTTGTACGTTTACTTCCTTTTCAAAAGTAAAAATATTTAAGTAGCTTCTTTTACTTCACAAAAGACACATCCCTGTAATGTTAATAAAACTTACTAAAGACTATTTTTCAAATAAAAAGAGTCATACATTTATTACAATTATTTTCATTTGAGAATTGTTCACCCTTTAAAAAGAACTTTCCCTGAGAAAGTTAAGACTTTAATCTCTTGTCTTTTGTAATTTTTTAGGCCTTAAATCACATTTAACTACATCACATTTTTATTTTTAGAAGAAATAATTCACAAAGAATTTCCTCAAATTTTGTGGTAGTTAATAGATCAAACAAAAAGGGACCCTAAACTGTATCAGCAGAGCCACAGACAGAATACATAATATAGCCAAAGATTCGTAGTTGTTCTTTTTCACACTCTGTTACTGACTTATTCTGGAATCATTTGCTTTTTTGCTTTTATTCAATCGTTTGTGATTGGTTAAGATTCTCCTTTTCATAGGACTTCTAAGCTCTTTTTTCACAGTAACCGTGGATCTCTAAGTGTGGCATATTTTTCAATTCTGGAAGGATTTAAGTATTTTAAATTGTTACATAGTTATTCACATATTTCAGTATGATAATATTACTGCATAATGTGAAACTTTAAACTATGGCTACATTTCAGCTCCTGATATCCCGTAGGTAAATTTGAATCTTATTAAACTAACTAATACTCAAACTACTATATTTGAAATTTTTTATTTTAACCGATTTTAAGCAAAATAGGAATATTTTTCAAGAAATGCAAGTTAATTAAAGAGAAGTTGTTGAACTCCTTCATCTCTACTGTAAAGATGAGAATAAGCAGACTTAATGGACAACCTGAAGAATTTGTGTTAACTATGAAAGAATAATAGCTTAATTGATTGATCTTTACATGTTGAAAAAGCTGATTCTGTAAATATCTTAAAAAGAGGAAACGTTATCTATTAGGAGTTGTTGGGTGTTTTTCCTTTAAATCAGGGAAATGGTCCAGATGATTTATAAATTCTTACCCTGCTTCTTTGTCATTTGATAAATAAGCACTGTCAAGTTATCTGGAGAAAGAATAATACATGATTAACGTATAAAGGTGACCTTTTATCGTTACGTTGTTTTTAATGATTTGAGTATATCAATATGTGGGATAAAACATGAAACAATATGATAGTGCCAAGTGGCTTACTCTTCAGCCAGTTCTCATGGCTTTTTAGTCTCTGTTTCCTTAATATTTCAGTTTGAGTGGATTCATTTAATAAATAATAAATTGCTAATCTATATGACAGGGGTTTTTTTAATTGTTTAAAGAAAAATTATTTATTTCTTCCCAAAATGACAAGATTCAGTAATAGGATGAATGTATTAAAATCTGAGAAACTAAGCCAGATTTAGAGAAGAATTTAAACAGTTCAAATTGGTATTTTTCTCAAAATCCAAGTCAGGGGGTCCTTCTTAATCTGAATACCTACATTTTTGTAATATAGCAAGGCAGTTTAATTGGAAACAGTGAAAACTGTTAAACTCATCTATTCCATTCTATAAGAAGACTGGATGTTAGATAAAACAGATATTGGCAATTGGGACAGTGAATCCTGGGTTTTAGACATGTGTCACTATCAGTTTGAACCTCTTGGCTCCAGGATTTCCCAACATTTAGAGCTAATGCAAAATGCATTAGGGCTCTAAGGCATTAGCTATGGAGTTGCCAATCACAGAGTGTCAAATGTAAATCTTCCCCTCCAAAAATCTGAACTGGTGTTTGAAAGTAAAGTGGAACTTGCTTTTGAAGCTAATTAAAAATAATAGGAGCAAGACTAGCATTTTTTTCTGTTATGTGTACCATTTATCCGTACCATACTTTTGGACCATTTTTTTATTATAACTTTTACTTTTCAAGACTAACAAGAACCTCATGTTAAGGGTATTTTTAAACTGCTTCCAGCTTTTACAAATCAGTTTTTGTTGCAGTAAAAATGGTCCATTTTTCTTTTATAGGAATCCAATTTTCATAAACTGGAAAAAAATTGCAGAGACTGCTTAGATTTCCTTGGGGCTTTGAAAAATATTTTTCAGAGAGCCTGGAGTTCTTCTTTGTGGTTGGCACAGTGATGTCATTTACTGACCATTTCAATGGGGTCAAAGACGAACTAGATGTGTGCATTATCTGAGCCATTTGACTCTTACACTTTCATTTTCTATGTGTGTATTATAGACTGCCTCTTCTTTTTTCTTCAAATACTTTAGGATTCACTTTAATGCATTATATGTATTACATATTATATATACATATGCCTTCTATTTTGGTCTCTCTTTTCTTTCAACTATTAAATCACAGTTGAATAGTAGTTGTACTTTAAAAAAACCCTACTGAGTAGAACTAACAAATTATTTCTTTAAAATATAAGAAATAATCTTTTACCGAAATTTTTTAATGTACGATTTTTAAATTCTAGAATTCTACATGTAAAAAAATTAGACTTATTTGTTTAGCTGAAACCTGCCTTAATTAAACACAGCTATTTAGTTTACTGTTTTTTCCCATGAGAAAACAACCTCAAAATTACATATTTTCTATCTAAAAGGCATGGTGCAGTGTTTGCAGAACTACATATTAACTAGAACTATCTGAGTTTGTTTCAAAGCAGTTATGCAAAAGAGAAATTAAGTTGTCTATTTTACAATCCTTAATTTGGCCAAGCCAAAAAATTCTTTTATATTGAGAGGAAAGAAAATATGTCTACAAAATTCCTTTGATAAGTCCTTTATCAATTTTTAATTAATAACCCAAACTCATTTCTT